AGAGAGAGAGAGAGAGAGAGAGAGAGAGAGAGAGAGAGAGAGAGAGAACGTCGCGCGAGCTGCTGCAAGCTGGAGAATACCAAAAGGAAAACTGAAAGACGTCGTGTAAATGCACAGAATGCAGAGGGCACGGACTAGAATTCCTCAAATCAGAATTAGGACATTGTCCGCCGATTTTAGGGAGGAAGCGAGTGAGTGAGTGAGTGAGTGAGAAGTTGTAGCGTACTTCATCATGTCAGTTTTAGAGCTTCTCTTTCACACCCACTCACGTCATCCCTAGAAATGGCGGACAGGATGCAAACCAATCAGGAATCGTCATACTTTGCCCTCAATCTGACTAGAGGAACTCTAACACGGATTTATCTCTCTCACTCTCTCGCTCTCTCCCTCCATCACGTTTAATTTCCGAAATCGATCGATTATTGGCCCACCGAAATAGGCGATTGGCCCGCTGAACGCGCATTATATCGCCGAGCACTCGTGTATGCTCGTTGATGCGTGACACGTGTCCGACACCCGTAACCGCCATTACGTCAGTCGGAGAGAGCACATCGGGGAGGGTTAGCACGCGAAGAACTTGCCGAAAATCGTCGGTGCGACGTTCCGCCGTATTTTTTCTTTCTTTCTGTTTTCTTTTTTTTCTCTCTACCGCTGAGCTGCCGGGTCGTTCTCCCTTGGAGGAACGCGAGGGCGTCCTTTGGCAGGTTGCACGAACCTGTTGCGCGGCTTTTTGGAGGCTTGTTTGTTGGGCACTCTGTTGGGTTATTACGTTTTGTCGTTTCCGTTTGGAAAAACGCTGTATTCAGAATTTCACGAGGCCGCGGTATAATTCGTCGCGACCACGTTAACGGCAAGTTCGACGGGCTAAATGAGTTTCCGCGAGGAAGCGTGAAAAATGATGCTAGGCAGAAAGTGTATATTAGTGGGACTTTACCTCTCATATCGTTCGCTTTTTTTTCAGACATTATCCCCGCGGAGGGATCGTTCTCGTAAATAGAAACTAAATTGATCTAATTAAATTGATTCTCTCCGTCTCTCTCTCTTTCTCTCTCTCTTTTTTTTTTTCCCGCGCGTCACGCGTTCCATTAATATATCGGTACTTCTCACTACAAAATACATCATGGCGCACTTGTGTGCACAGTTTTTTTTCTCTTTTTTTCCTTTCTATGCGACCGCACGAGGGCTCGCACATTGCCCGCCACGTGAGCGAAATGTGAGAAGAGCAGGTGGTAAGGCCAGGAACGTAGATATTACGCAAGTGCGCCTACCGAATAATAGATACGCGACATTATTAAACGCCAGATCGTTCGAGCTAACGAATATTTCATCGTGTGTGAGAGATTAGACTGCTCGATCTGGGCCGGATATTTGCGCAACTATTGCGTCAAGTGAAGTAGGTAGTATCTGAGCGTCTCAATTATTAAATCTCGTTAGGGATTTTGGAAATGGAAGACGTGATAATTTTCATTATTTTACAAAAAGGTTAATTGCATTTAGGAAAAGTTAACTATAATAACTCACAACTAAAATATGATTTTAAAAAATGTACGCGTGTTGTGTCGAAGAATAATTTTTCTATCGTGAATGCGAGTTTACGTGAACATGTATTACAGAAAAGAAAGTTTTTCCCTCCCCTATCTTCTATATTTCATCTGTGAGAACTGATAGATGTTCGTAAAATTGTTCGCGTGTTCGGGCCGCGTATATTGAGAATTCTCTGTATAGCTCGATAATCCTGTGGCGGATAAAAGCTATCGGAGTTGTCGGAGTTTCACCTCGCCGATTAAGTTGAGTAGAGAATATAAAAGTAAGAAGTTTTTCAAGAAGGACAGGGAACTGATCTTGAGATTTGCGACTTTTTGAACTTTACTACCGAACTCGAATCGCTCCCCAAAACGTTGTTTTTCCTTTCCCCAGGGAAGGAGAGAGAGAAAAGCAGGAAGAGAGGAAGAAAGAGAAAGAAAGAGAAAAGGCATGGGACGTCGTAGAAAAAAATAAAACGTGAGATTGACCGACAAGAAGGTACATCAACATTCGAATGGCAAATAATACAACTAACCGAAAGTAATATCCTTTAATCATTTTAATGCGAAACAGATTTCCTCCGGATCGTCGCGTTATTTTTTTCGACTATTCTTTTTTCTCTTGCTTTTTTTCTTTGCATGCGCAATTAATTATTTCGTCGTTTCCGCGAGCTTGACCCCCGCACAGCGAGAGCGCACCCTTCATTATTTGCTTTATATCGCACCGCTTCGCGACACTCGCGCTACTCGACCGCATATTTATTTTCCGTCTCTAAATGCAGCACCCGCTTCTCTCTCCCCTTCCCCTTCCCCTCCCCCTTCCCCTCCCGCCGTACCTTGAAAGTTGTATTGACAAACTGAAAGCAAGTCGATGATTTCAACTTCTACGTCGCCCGATTAACGACGCGGAGGGGCGGTGGAGGGAGGAGAGATTAAGGCGTTACGGTTCACTTCACAGTTTACACAGGCAGCTCTCTCCGCGAATTCCCCCGTTGGCCTAATCTCGGCGAAGTTTCCTCCCGGTATTAATTAGCGCGCAGGGGATCGCGCCCTTTGAGTGACGCAAAACGCAGTTGCACTCCTTTACCGAGACAAGCCGAACGGCGCGATTCCCCGCTTCGGCACGTGCATGACGCAAAACTAAATTTTCAAAGAGAGACAGAGAGAGGGAGGAGAGAACGGCAAGGAAAGAGAGAGAGAGAGAGAGAGAGAAACTGGAATCGCCATTCAGTCCCCTTCCTTACTCCCCCCCACCCTTTTTTTTCCTTATGTGATCTGATACAGACGATTCTCGCGAATTAATGTATGTCGGCCGCGAAGCGGCTCCTCGCGAGGCTTGTCCGTGAGTGAGCAACTCTCTCCTTGCAACTTCTACCCGCTGATAAGCCGCAAATGACTTCTGAAGTGTGCGCGATACGTACTCACGCCGGCCTCGATTAATCCTCGCGCTGTGTCGCGGCCTACATGTGAATCGTGCTTTCCAATTATAGTGCGGGATACCATGCGCGTCGATGTTCGAGCAAGATTGAACAATTATTGAACTTTCAGCTCGAATAAGTTTCATGCCACCAACCCTGCCGTCTCGGAATCGATAACTCGATAGAGGTTCGTGTGGTTCGTTGAACGGAACCGCCACTCTTATTGTTGCAGAAGGCACCCCCTCCTCCTTTTCCTCCTCCTCCCTTGCGTCCCCGCTTCCTATCACTCCATATTTCTCTCTGTCTCTCTTCCCCTTTCTTCCTGTGGTCTACGTATGTGTGTATGTGTCGCATTCGGTAAAATTGCATTCATTTCACATTCGGTGGATCCGCACAAAGACCGCGCGGCGCCTTTCATAACGGGATGATTGCCATTCGCCGGCAATTATTTTTAGTCCCTCTTTCGAGGTTTCTGTTTTTACTTAGACATATAGATGCGCGCACTTTGCAACAATAACGCGTGATACACAGACGCGTCATTCGATTATGCCTTTATTGACAAAAATGATGGAAAATATACGTGATGTTATATCCGAGCTGTTCTATTGAAGAGAATCGAGCGGAACTCTCTCGCGGATTCGGGATATTTGCCGTAAGAGAATGGCAGAAATCGACAGAGTCACGTTGGATACTCACCAAGTATTGGTTGGTCTGATTAGAGTCGCCATAAGGATACGGTGTGTAGACGGCCAGGGCGACGCAGTTCGCAAATATAGTCATAAGGATGAGCCACTCGAAAGGTCTGCGTGGTAGTGTTGATAAAATCAATCGAATTAAGGAAAACACGAGCATCGCGCGCGGTCAACCTTTCGGTTTAACACCTCCGGCGATATTAACGACGGGTATCATTATTGTGCCAAACCTCGATCGCGGGGTTGCTAAAGATAACTTAACGTCATGCATGTTGTTAACACGATAATTTTGCAAACCGTTGCGAACATTCACTGTATTATCTGTACATCCTCGATACCAGGTCGGTATTTGAGTGAAAGAAGAAAAAGCGGAGAAAACGTCGTTAATATCGAACTTCGGTTCGAGAGAAACCAACTTTTGTTGGTCTACGCTCTAAACCTGCTCAGGTGAAATTCCACTTGGAAAATAGGATTTCAACCGTGTCACTCGAAGTCAAGTGACTTTTTCCTCTAGTATAGAGTGAATTTCTCCACTCTGAGTCACGCCGAGTGAATATTTTCATGCGAAACTGAAGCGAATCTGGCATATTCCGTCTTTACGCGAAGGAATTCGCTCGGATCGATCCAAGTATTCGCATGGATCGATCTGAGTAAGAATCCGCTTTAAATTCGCACGAGTCACTCTTGTGACTCCGATATCTTCACTATCGTGTCGACTGGATTGTCCTTTCCGTGAGATTTCACTCCGAGAAATTCAGAGAATATCGAACGTGATCGCCAAAATAATATTCTAGTCTCCGTATCACATCAGAGACCAGCAGTTACCAATCGCCAATAAAGCACACTAGGCAAAGGATACTTCCACTCCACGACACTGATGCACAACTTCCTAACAGGGTTCTTGAGGGGCAGACAGAAAAGCGCCCTGATGGGCCTGTCAGGTGGCGGCTTGCCGCCCCGTCTAGCGGGTCTCTTCGGGGCCGACTTGACGGCGGCGGCGGTGGCCGCTCCGGGGCCCGCACCTGTCTGCGATTGCGGCGGCTGTGCGTTACCCAGCTGTACATCGCCACCGACGACGGGGGGGGTCGCGTTGAAGGGGGTCGCGGCAGTCGGCTGGACCCCCGGCAGCCCAGGGGGGCCCAGTGCCGAGCCCCCATCCCCCCCCGCGCTCATCGGTCGCTGGTGTCGAGCTCCGTGCTTCCCCTCCGACGACGATCTCGCCTCCTTCTTCTCCTTCGACGGCGACGCTCCAGCGGTTGCTGTTGCTGCTTCTGCTGCCTTGCCACGCAGACGGCTGACGCCGATCGACGCGGTGTCTCAGAGGCGCCCCACCACGCGCTGCAGCTCGCCGGCATGCTACGGCACTGGGCTGCTACGAAGCTCCCTCCGTGACCTGCGGCAAAAGGTCGGGGTTCATCAGAGAAGGAGAGAGATAGAGAGACAGGGAGGAGTGGGGGAAGAGGTAGCAAGAAGTCTAGTGAGCCATTTTGGCCCTAACGGTCGCACCGCGTGTCCTGCGAATTGTAATTATTCATGAGATAGCGCGATGTATCATCCATCGTCATGAGCTATTACGCAAATATATCCCCGGGACATGTGCAAGAATTTTACACTCCCAACATAGCTTCGGCTTGATACGGCGGTGACACGCGAATAATTTCGATATTTGAATGTAAATCGAGGCGCGCGCGAGAAAAAGAGAGAGAGAGAGAGAGAGAGAGAGAGAGAGAGAGGCAGAGAGAGACGACCAGAGAATTGTTTATCGGCCGAAATTGCTTCACGATGAAGTTGGCGCCAACCTCGTTATTGTTTCGGATTGTCTCGAACTCGCTCAATCTGCTCGAATATCGCGATTATTATCCAAATTGCACGCACGCTCCATTCGCGTAATATCTCGTAATATATCGAGCTTGCGAGAGCAACTTTGCGTAATTACGAGTCATCGTAATGAATTCGGCGTCCCCGGCGTTTATCCCACTTCGGCGAAAAAGTCTTGGATGTGAAGCGCGATGTGATAAAAAGTTAATTATACTTTGCAGCGCGGAAAAGAGAACGCAAACGCGCGGAACACGCGCGAAATTGCCCGTCGGAATTTCGTCGACGCGTTCTCGTCCTCGTCGTCGTTGTCGTTGACGACCCGCGCTCATTTCAGAGAAAAACGGAACGAGCAGTTCGAAAATACACCGTCGAATGGCGCAATTATACCTTTGATGGCGATGAAAATCCGCCAGTAGATACGGCGCGTACGTACACAGGGAGGATCGCACGGCTTTCCCTCCCCCGTCGAAAAGAGAATAATATACAGCAACGGCACGACCTTCCGATTGCATCTCGCGGACGCAATAAAAAATAACAAGACTGCCGAGTGAAAGGAATACGGTTATTTTCAGACAGCCTCTTCTAGGACTTCATTTCGCTTCCCGTGTCCTCCCTAGAGACCGAACCTTTGTTCCAGTTAATTAAGAGAGTCTAACTCGGGAACAGCCGAGATGAATTATCTATGTCTTTAATGAATTAGTGATAATTAGCGTTATTACTGTCGTCATTATTATTACTAAATTATACAGGCTGCCTGACGACATAAAATTCTCGTGTATATGTAGGTTACGTTGAATTGAGCGTTGGCATTCTCCTGCCATTCTGCAAACAACCGTGTAAAATTTCGAACTATTAATTAAAGAAAATTGACGAATAATCACGCGCAATATCGTGATAGAGATGAGCTGCGTCGGCGACATCTGTCGTCGTGTGCTTGTAGATCAGGTCAAACCGAACGAGAAATTCCTCTACCATATTGCCAATAACCACGTAAACTTTTCGTTATTAATCAAAGAACATTGATGAATATGAAACGAATAAAATGATTATAACGATCGTTCATTTTACACGATCGTTTCGCAGTTTTAGTTATGATACTTAGAATTCTATCTGAACCAACAAAACATTTTTAAACGTATTATTATTATTATTATTAGACTCTTGGATATGTATCCGCAACAAAAATCAGATTTCGCTGATTACGATAAGAATCGTTACGGATTATTTTTTCATGTTTCGCATATCACTATTTGCATCAATGGCAATCATTACGGTTGCTTCCTTATGCACGGCCTACAATACGATTGCAATCGTGAAACATGCAATATCATCGATCGATTACAATAACAAAATACGGGGAAATAAATAGGCTATTATTATTGAATAACGATATAATCACTGGTATATTCTCTCTCTCTCTCTCTCTCTCTCTCTCTCTCTCTC